TGGCTGAACAGGATAAATGCCACGTTTTATCAACCAAGCCCAAGGGGCTCCCAGGCTGCTTCTTCGAACCACAACGGGAAGGGGAGTTTATTGCAAGTCTCGGCTTTGATTTGTAAATTGTCCTGAAGTCAAACGCATACGGGATGTCAAGGTACAGAATGCAGAAACGCAAGGCGGCGTGAGCGCAGAAATCGGTGTCGTAAACGTCGGTAGGTTGACAAATGACAAAGCTCAAGACGCCTGAGGAAGGCACGCAGCTCCTCCCTCCCTCGGTGAACTCACACCTCGGGCACCTCTGGGCCTACATACCCCGAATTCGGGATCCTTCCCTCCTCACTGCCCCAGCACCCCCAGGAACTGAGGAGACAAACAGCAGGTGCTTTTCACGTGCACAGCGCTACACACAAAGTCTCCACACAGTTCCAAATGTGACAAAGTGAAGGCATTATTTAATCATGAGGCAATAAGGTGATGAATAGCAAGGACCTACAGCCAAAAATATTCTACCCAGCAAAGCTATCACTCAGAATAGAAGGCCAGATAAAGAGCTTCACAAATTAAAAAAAATTTAAAAAGCTAAAGGAGTTCATCACCGCCAAACCAGAATTATATGAATTGGGGGTTCTTTAGGAAGAGGAAGAGGATAAAGATGAAAATTCTCAATAACAAATATGTAACTATCAACAAGTGAATCTAAAAACCAAGGGAATTAAAAAATCTGATGAACAATATTAACTGGTGAATATAATAGAATCAGAGGGATGAAAGGGGAGTGGACTGACGATTCTCAGGGAAAAGAGGAGTGGGGGGTGCGGGAAGAGACTGAACATAAACTGTGCACCTATGGATGAGGACAATGGGGGGTGGGGAAAGGGCAGAGGGTGGGGTGGGAACCTGGTGGAGGGGAGCAATGGAGGGGGGGAAATGAGGAACATTTGTAATAATAGGAACAATAAAGATTTTTTTTTTTAAATCATGAGACAATATAATAAAAAATTTAGCCCGGCCAGTGTGGCTCAGTAGTTGAGCATCGACTTATGAACCAGGAGGTCATGGTTCAATTCCTGGTCAGGGCACATGCCTGAGTTGCAGCTGGATCCCCAGTAGGGGGCGTGCAGGAGGCAGCTGAGCAATGATTCTCATCATTGATGTTTCTATCTCTCTCTCTCTCCCTCTCCATTCCTCTCTGAAATCAATTAAAAATACATTTTTAAAATACTTTAAAACCCGTTAAACATTCTACCAGACAAATGTAAACACAACCATAAAGCAAGAGCAGCGAATGCTATAGAAACAACTCCGAAATGTTATCTTCGTCAAAGGCCGAGTTGTCCAGCAAAATGGCCATGTGGCAGGTCTGTGCATGCCAATGCTCTCGAATGCCAGGAGAGGCCTACGTTTCTGGCAATTGGACCAAATATTCACATTCAGGCTATGGAGGCAACTGCCTCAAGTTTCCTGATTCCCACGGACATATGGCAGCTTCAGCAGCCGTTCTATTCCCTCCTCAATGGCACAGCCATTTACAATCATGCAGGCCTGGAATACTTAACTGCTGCTATTTCCTGCTGGTCACGTCCCCTTACTAATTCACGCCGCCAACTGGGGAGGACAGAAGGCGCCAACCCACCATCTTTCTTGGGTTAATTTGCATATTTACTCCTGATTGGCTGGTGGGTGTTGTGAAGGTACTGTCATTTAAATGCGAGCAATTTGTGTGCCCACAAACTTTGGAGAATGCAGAGTCCCGGGGGCAAATGCCACCAAATCAGATGCCTCCCCCCCAAGTATCTACCCCACTCCTGCTCAGCGGCTGCTCACAGAAACTCGCCCGTGGCTTTTTAGACTGAGATTCCAGCCATTGTCAAGCGGGGATGAGCTTGAGCATGTGGCAGCCGAGACAGTGTGGCTAGTGCTTAGGAGTACAGGCTTTGAATCAGAAAACTGTGAGGTCCCATCTCAGCTCCATCTCTTTTTTTAAAGTATATTTTTATTTATGTCAGAGAGGAAGGGAGAGGTAGAGAGATAGAAACATCAATGGTGAGAGAGAATCATTGACCAGCTGCCTCCTGCATGCCCCCTACTAGGAGGCAACCCAGGCATGTGCCCTTGACTGGAGTCAAACCCGGGACCCTTCAGTCTGCAGGCCGATGCTCTATCCACTGAGCTAAGCCAGCTAGGGCAGCTCCACCTCTGACTGAGTGAACTTGCACAAATGACTTAACCTCTCCTGGCCTCAGTTTCCCCATTGAAAAAACTATGCCCAAAATATTTACTATCCAATAGGGTTCTCCTGAGAATTAAATGTAACAATATATGCAATAAACCTGGTCCAGAGCTCGCAACATAAAAAGCACTCAATACATGCTCGTTGTTATTGCTTTTAGTATCTACACTAATAAAAGAGTAGCATGCTAATTGACTGTACCTTCACAACACCCACCAGCCAATCAGGAGTGAGTATGCAAATTAATCCAACAAAGATGGTGGGTTAATTTGCATACACAGGCGCCAAGTGGCAGGGAGTGGGGCAGGATGCTTGCATCATTGCCACAGGCATTGCACACCACCCCAGCCGCTCCAAACCTTTGCATGGGAAGGCAGAAAAGCAGCTCCGGCCAGAGTGAAGACAGTGCCAGCAGCCAGGGGAAGGAAGACCCATTCATGCACAAATCTTTGTGCATCAGGCCTCTAGTCATTAATAATAAGTTAACATGCCCACACCTCCCAGGGCTGGAACAGCAAGGTCCAGCAAATTTTGACTCACCTACTCGCAGTAGCAGAGCTAATGCTGGTCCAGGAAGAGTTGGCATCAGCCCCCAAGGGCAGCTATATGGGAAGGTGGGGAAGATGCCAAGGCTTAGAGTCCAAGTCCCAACCCATGTCAGCATCTCATTCACCTTCACACACCAACTGGTTTGAAGCAGCAATAACAGAAGCCAAGATAGACTTTAGCACAAAGAAGGCAAGCACAAGGCTGAGCTCCTGACCTGGGCAGATGCTCGAACAGGGGGCAAAACACAAAACAGACACAAGGGCTCATGGGACACCCAGAGCTCAGGCGACACTGAACTGGCTGGGGCAGGAAGAACTCTCCAGACTCGTCCAGAATCAGCTGGAGGGAGCGAGCTCACACCATGCTGCTAAGACCCACTCCCCATAGACTGAAGGCAGTGCTGTACTGAATCTGTCCCTGGATTATAGGGACACGCCCATCTCCCTCACCTAACCAAAGAAAGGAATAATAAAGTCCTCCATGAAGGGGCAGCACAGAGTGCACACCTGAAACAGCAGTTATTGTCTGGAATGTCCAATTTGGGGTGCCCCTGAGCTCTAAGATAAGACGCGCCCAAGGACCCCAGCCTCAGAGTCATTCTCAGCAGAATCCCCCTAAGACCTTGCCAACCCCAACGGCTCTCCCAGGGAGACAGACTGCATTGCTGCAAGATGCTACGGATTCAGACTTAAGACATGCTGTTAGGCCCAAACCGGTTTGGCTCAGCGGATAGAGCGTCAGCCTGCGGACTGAAAGGTCCCAAGTTCAATTCCGGTCAAGGGCACATGCCTGGGTTGTGGGCTCGATCCCCAGTGGGGGTCTTGCAGGAGGCAGCCGATCCATGATTCTCTCTCATCGTGGATGTTTCTACCTCTCTCTCTCTCTCTGTCTTCTTTCCTCCCTGAAATCAACAAAAATATATTTTAAAATAAATAAAGTCTCACATTAATCATCTAAACTCAAAGAGAACAGTAGAGCAACCTTTAGTTTGGGATTCTTAGAAAAGGATCCAAAAGAAAAAAAAAGAAGAAAAAAGAAAAGAAAAGAAATATTATAGTTATATCAGGCAAGGTCTTAAATCTCAATATGAGAGTAAGCATCCATTATTAGCTCACTCACTGACTTGGAATTTGTGTAAGGGATGTGTTTAAAAGGGTTAGATAATGATGGCCAGATAGTAGCAGCTATGCTATTATAGATGGAATGGATAAGGGATGGAAGATTAAAGAAAACAATGGGACCGAGGACAGGGGGGGAAAGCTCTGGGCGTGGACCTGTCATCAAAACAACTGGACATGTCTCTGAGTCTACGATACTGAAGTCACGAAACCCTTTTGGGTGGAGCAGAAACTGGGGTTGCTGGTTTAGAAACAGCCTGATTCATGACCTGACCTTATTTACAGCAGGAAGAATGACCCGTCCCAGCCATTCCCATCTGAGACAGGCTGCGAGCCCAGCGGTAGAACTGGTTCCAGTGGTACCTGATTGAGAGCCAGGGCACTACATGCCACCTTGCCCATTCAAGTCCCCAAACCTCATCAGGAAATGTCGCTGAGTTCCACTTTCCAAGTCCATTTCCTCTCCATGATTGCAGATGTAATCATAACCACAGCCAGTTCTGCCACAACTTCTGGTTCTTGTTGTATGAACCCAGTGACTCCAGCAAAAAAAACGCTCCCCAAGTGCCAGAAACCACGCCCCCGCCCGTAACCATAGCAACGGTGACACGCCGCTAGCCCAGGGATTCCCGGTTCCGCCTCCCTCCCCTCCGGAATATTGTTTCTCACTATCTGTCCACATGGGCGCACCGCCTCCCTATTGGCCGGTGCCCCAGGGCTGTGCCTCGCCTCAGCCAATAAGCGGCCTGTGCACGTGCACAGCTGCGTATCCCGATAGGTCACTGCGGTCCGATCACGCACGGCCTACCTGAGCCAGCCGCCGCGCGGGGCGCCAATGAAATGACTCAGTAGCCGCTTCCAACCAATCGGCACCAAGCTGGGGTCCGCCGCCGACCTATGGGCGCGCGCCGGGGGCGGGCGTTCCCGCCCGGCTTCCAGTCCCAGCGGGGTTTGTTAAAGTGACAGGCCCCAGGGCGCGCCAGGGCTCCTCCACGGGGCATCGCACCGCGGCCGCTGCGGCCCTCCGTGTGCAACCGGCGCCCGTGACAGCGGCGCCTCTCTGCTCCCGACCCCGGATCCCGGGCGCTGCCGATCTCTTGGGCGGGATGGGCGGCGAAGCGGGGTCTGCAGTGGCCCTGGGCGGCTCCGAGGGGGGGCGCGTGAAGAGCCTGGGGCTGGTGTTCCAGGACGAGGGCAAGGGCTGCTACGCGAGCGGCGAGACGGTGGCGGGGCACGTGCTGCTGGAGGCGGCCGAGCCCGTGGCCCTGATCGCGCTGCGCCTGGAGGCCCTCGGCCGCGCCACCACCTCCTGGGGCCCCAGCGCTGGCTCCGCAGCGCCGGCCTCCGCCTCGGAGGTGGAATACCTGAATCTGCGCCTGAACCTGCGCGAGGCCCCTGCTGGTGAGCAAAATGACAGCCCCGAGGTCCTGGTGACAGCGGGGACGCTTGGGAGGGGGCGCGCCTGCAGATGCCCATCTGCCCGGTGGGCATCTGCTGGCTCCAGTGGGGTGGGGTTCACCCTTGCAGGTCACGCGCAGGTAACAATGCCTGCACCCCACACACACACACACACCTCACAGCACCGGGGAGATCCTGCGAGGTGGCTGCATCCCTCTACCTAGCATCCCAGACCTCCTAGGAGCGCTCTGGGAGGGAACCGGTTGCCACGGAAACCTGGGATGCGCTGTCAGGAAGCCAGTGTCTCTTGTCCCTTCAAGGCCTGAGCAACCAGCTTGTGTGAGGTGCCATGCCCTGGCGCCCCGAGTTTTATGGGCCTCCCCTTCTGCCAGTCCAGAATCTGGGTGCTGGCTGGTTCGTGGGGAAATTAGCAAAACCTGTCTGGCCGGGTCGTCGTTCAAAGGAAGTGTTTCTTGGCCATCCTACTTGGAGTCCCTCTCTCTCGGGAGCACGGGCCCCTTAAGAGTTCTGCCTCTGCTTTCCTTCTTTGTTCTTTACTATTTTTGCTACTTTTGTTCCGTTTTGCACGCCACCCACCCCATCCTTTTAGAGACAGGAGGGTCTGGATATGGTAAGTCTCTGGAGGGCCCTAGCTGGTTTGGCTCGGTGGATAGAGTGTTAGCCTGTAGACTGAACGGTCCCGGGTTCGATTCCAGTCAAGGGCACATGCGTAGATTGTGGGCTGGATCCCCCGTAGGGGGCATGCAGGAGGCAGCCGATCCATAGTTCTCTCTCATCATGGATGTTTCCCTCTCTCCCCTCTCCCTTCCTCTCTGAAATCAATAAAAATATGTATTTTTTTAAAATCCTCTGGAGGAAAGATGACCCTTCCTTTCCACTCTTGTGAAGTCCAGTTTAATAGTCTAGGCCAGTGGTCGGCAAACTCATTCGTCCACAGAGCCAAATAGCAACAGCACAACGATTGACATTTCTTTGGAGAGCCACGTTTTTTAAACTTAAACTTCTCCTAACGCCACTGCTTCAAAATAGACTCGCACGGGCCGTGGTATTTTGTGGAAGAGCCACACTCAAGGGGCCAAAGAGCTGCATGTGGCTCTCGAGCCGCAGTTTGCCGACCAGGGATTTAGGCTTTTCCAGGAGTCTCTGTGTGGGAACCCACTCTATGGCTGTACCATTAGCGTTATGTGCAATCACTGATTTCCTTCATTCATGAAACTACTAAGAACATTGAGTCTTAGTCTTCCTGTAGTTGGTAGAAGCTAACTTATTTATTTTTTTTTTTTGCTTCATGATATTCAGCTTTTAGCTATTAAATAATGGTACAAGCCCCCTCCTCCCCTCGCCCACCAAGAGTAAGATGCACTATATCTTTGCTTGACTTTTGCTATGTCTTATACAAAATCGATAGAATGTGCCGTTTTGGCTTGTCCTACTATGCAAAAGTAAATCCCACAGATAAATCCTCAAGGTGTGTGAGAATGAAGTGATCCCCAAAACTGTAGTGAGAAAAAACATTTGGAACCAAAGCTCTCTTGTTTTGTAATGTTTTTGTTTGTTTGTTTTTCATTTATTTTTGTTAATTTCAGACAGGAAGGGAGAGGGAGAGATAGATACATCAATGATGAGTCATTGATCAGCTGCCTCCTGCACGCCCCCTACTGGGGATCGAGCTCACAAGCCAAGAATGTGCCCTTGACCGGAATCGAACCCGGGACCCTTCAGTCTTCAGGTCGACGCTCTACCCACTGAGCTAAATGGGCTAAGGCTGAAGCTCTCTTTTGAATGACCAAGAGCAGTATGTTAGGTGACAGCTGTTACCTGCCTTTGGGGCTTTTCATCATGAATGTGGATTCCGGGGGGCAATAAGCTCCCCACAAAGGTAAGAGACCACAGATTCTCAGGATGGCTGAGAGGGCCATGGAGAGAGAAGTAGGTTGTTTTTGTCCAGGACTTTGGACTTTGTCTCTGGGCCCATGGCGACTGAGTAAATAGATGTCAGATTAACAGCAGTTAGACCTGCCTAGCAAAAAAAAAATAATAATAATAAAATACTTTGCTAAAATCTGGGCTAACAAATAACATTATGATTCACAAGTCAAATTTTATGTTTTCGTTCTGATGGGCTGGAATGCGCAAATCTAAACAACCTGACTGGCTTGTTTGCAGAAGGCATCATAACAAACAGGGGCAAAAGTATGTTCTACTTTCAAAACAGTCATCGTTTTCGTGGCTTTCCTACAGAAATACAAAGAGGTCACTCCTGTGTCTGAAAGAAGTCAGCAACTTTTGTGGTCACGTGTTCTCATGGTCGCTGAATTCCAAAACATAGCGGATCGCAATCATCCGAGCAGATTTCCAGAAATATTGAAAGAGTTTGGAGAAGGGTGGCTTATGGGATCTATTTTCAGAAAACTTCCTCAGCTCATTCCTGGGCATTGCTCATTTACCCCAACTCCATATTTTCATGGCAGCTGATTTTCTTCAGAATTTTATTGCAAAATTGTGGTCGAGAGACCAGACTGGCCGGAGAGTTGGTTTCAGTTCTTGGTCACCCACCCAGAGGGTGACCTTGTGTGCACCCCTCATCCGTCCTGAGCCCCTCTCTAACTCTGAAGAGCTTCTAGCTCACACAGCTCAGCAGGAGAGAAACGTTAATGATGAGAGAGAATCAATGATCGGCTGCCTCCTGCACGCCCCCTACTGGGGATCAAGCCTGCAACATGGGTGTGTGCCCTTGACCAGAATTGAACCCAAGACCCTTCAGTCCCCAGGCCTACGCTCTATCCACTGAGCCACACCAGCTAGGGCTTTGGCTGTAAGACCATTAGCAAATGGAGCCTCGTGGCATATGGGAAAGGATGCGTGAGACAGCCTGGGAAACTTTTAGATTCTAAACAAATAAAATGAGAAAGAGAAAGAGAACGAAGGCAAATACTGGAGTCCAGATACTGTCACCCAAACATCTATCAACTGTCTCAATTGTTTTTCCTGTTCGTGTTTTGAGGTGATTATACATCTCTTTTAAAGGTTCCTTTTTAAAAAAAAATATATATATATGTATTTTATCAATTTCAGAGAAGACAGGAGAGGGAGAGAAACATCAATGATGAGAGAGAATCATTGATTGGCTGTCTCCTGCATCCCCCTTACTGGGGACAGGGCCCGCAACCCTGACAATGCCCTTGACCGGAATGGAACCCAGGACCTTTCAGTCTGCAGGCCGATGCTCTAACCACTGACAGTCCCTATGTTGGTTAGTTTTGTCTTGCAGAGGAAACTTTATCTCCCTCTTACCCTCCTTTGAAATCCTGGACCACTTCCCCCACACATCTATCATTCCTTGTTTCCTGCCATTCCCATCATCTGAGCGCCCTCCCACTCATCTCCATGCCAACCGCAGCATGCCATGGGTGTGGTCCTCAGGGTGCCAGTCCCCTGCCCCTCGGGCTCCAGCACTCCATGGTCACTACTGGGGTACGGGTGTCAGCCTCCTTTCCTCCCAACCCCTGTGTGAGGACTGAAGTTATTCATCCTTATAGCCTCACATCTGGGCACTATCAACGTTGACTTCCATTGAAGCCCACCATTTTAAACATTTTACAGTACTTTAGGTTGGCCTATTCAGCCCTAGCTGGTGTGGCGCAGTGGATAGAGCGTCGGCCTGGGGAGTAAATGGTTGTGGGTTCAATTCTGGTCAAGGGCACACACCCAGGTTGCGGGCTCGATCCCCAGTAGGGGGTGTGCAAGAGGCAGCTGATCATTGAGTTTCTCTCGTCATTGAGGTGTCTGTCTCTCCCTCTCCCTTCCTCTCTGAAATCAATAATAAATTGTCATATTCAGTAACCTAGTGATTATAAATTAGAATGAAGCCCAGATCTCAGGAGCAGGGCCTGCCCTGAGCCTTCCCTTGCTGGCTGCGCAGTGAGTGACCTGGCTTCCCTGCTCAAGCTCAAGGGCACACCTGGGCCTGGGACTCCGTCTCTGACTGTCACTTACCCTGGCCCACATCCCTGTGGCCTGTTCCTTTGGCCTGCAGTCACCCCGCCCCCACCCCTGTGGATTTAGTAGAATGACCTTAAATGGCACACGTTTTGTTTATTTTCCCCCAATATATCACACATTGCAATCGGGGCCAGCTTCAGGAGCCAGTGGGCCAGGACGGTGGCTGTTCCTGTGTCTAAAAGCACCAGGTTGGAATGTTTAAGGCCTTAGAAGTCCGGTGAAACACTATCCCGTTCACTAGCGATTTCTGCCTGTTAAAAGGCTCTCAGTTAAATGCTCTCAGGGCGCGGATGCGGTCGTATCAAGTGGCCAGGCACAGCTCAGACAGAGCGTTCCCAGTCTCTGCGGCCCTTTCTCCGTCCTAGTCACTCGACCCTGGAGGGAACTTCATTGTGAACTTGAACCTGTGAGCGTGGGAAGGTTCCCTGGGGGGCCCCTGACCAGCACTGCCGGCCTGGAGCTGGCCTTGAACCTGAATAACACAGGTGCACACCTTGCATCTCGCTTCCCACCACCAGGACTAAGTCTGGGCGTGAAATAAAATGGAGCTGGCTGACCCCGAGCAGGAGGAAGGGGTCATGGCCGCGCGTGGCGAAGCCCTTCCCTTTATCCCACGCTAACCACCCAGACACCCATTCATCAGCAGACCTGGGGTATAATCAATACCTGGTTCTCGCTTAATAACGGGTTCCATGGCTGTGTAGTATTATATTTAATATGCGTAATAGTCGACATTCATTTTTCTCCTCTTTTTTCACCTCTGCCCAAGGAGTACACAGCCTGACTTTTGAGATATACCCAAAATAGATAGATGTATTTTTTTATTAGTTCGTTTTCAGTGAGATTTAATATTGGTATCTGATGTTAGTTAGCATAATAGTGTACTGATGTTGGTATACCCATGCTAATATGAGTGGGTGGTACCCATACAAATGTTCGTGTATATACATATAAATATGTGTACACACGTTTATGTATAAACATATATGTGTGCAAATGTTTAGGTACATGCATATGTGTGCACATTTATGTATATGCATGTATGCATGTACATAAATGTTTATGTGCGTGCACATAAGTGTGTACACATGTTTATGTGTATACGTATGTATACAAATGTTTATATACTCACAAGTATTTGTACACATTTATGAATATATATGTGTGTATACACGTGTTTATGTATCCTCACATACATGTGTGTATGCATGTTTATGCATATGGGAGCGCTGGAGTCTCACACTTTCTGGTTGGTACTTGTGTAATTGTCTATTTGAAGACAGAAGCTGTATACATGTTGAAACTTGGTACAAACTGATTCAAATTTTAATTCTCGGAATCTCCATTCAATGAACTTTTTGGAGTCCACCAGATAGTACAGCCAGGGAAACCTCCTTTTTTAAAAACATGTGATTAAGGTGGTGACACTTCTTGATCTGGTCCTCACCTTAGTCAAAATAAAATATCTGCTCTGTTTTAGGTGACGGCATCCTCCTTTTACAGCCCGGAAAGCACGAATTCCCATTTAGCTTTCAACTCCCGTCTGAGTAAGTGGAACAATTGTAACTTTTTAAAATGTTCTACCCTGCCCCCCCCCCCGCCCGTCCTGCCTCCCCCCCAATCCATCCTTCCCCCCGTCCATCCACACGTGTGGGTACCAGACCTCCCACTGACAGGCGCGCTTGCTTATCCTGAAAAGCCCCAGACAGACCCGCCCCTGCTCCAGCTCCGGGCACGCCCGGGCCCGCCCCTGCCCTCACTCATGTTTCTTTTAAAATATATTTTATTGTTTTTTTACAAAGAGGAAGGGAGAGAGATAGAGAGCTAGAAACGTCGATGAGAGAGAAACATCGACCAGCTGCCTCTTGCACACCCCCTACTGGGGATGAGCCCGCAACCAAGGTACATGCCCTTGACCGGAATCGAACCCAGGACCTTTCAATCCGCAGGTGGACGCTCTACCACTGAGCCAAACCGGTTTTAGCTCATGTTTCTTTTAACCAAACCAACATGCTGAGAGCTTTGCTTGGTGTGTGTGTGTGTGTGTGTGTGTGTGTGTGTGTGTGTGTGTATTTTATAGTGAATATTTGTTTTTCTTTTTACTTTTTTCTTTTTATTTTTTATATATTTTATTGATTTTTTTACAGAGAGGAAGGGAGAGGGAAAGATAGTTAGAAACATCGATGAGAGAGAAACATGGATCAGCTGCCTCTTGCACACCCCCCACCGGGGATGTGCCCGCAACCAAGGCACATGCCCTTGACTGGAATCGGACCTGGGACCTTTCAGTCCGCGCAGGCCGACGCTCTATCCACTGAGCCAAACCGGCTTCGGCTGTGTATGTGTTTTTAATGTGTGTTTTTAATCTTTATTGCTGGATGTTTATATAGGGCCTCCTTCCCCTCCCCTCCCCATTCCCCGCTCCTCCCCCATTAACCCCCTCCAGCCGCTCTGGTTGTGATTGCCTGAGCAGTAAACTGAGCCATTCATTTCATTCATTTCATTCATTTCATTCATTTCATTCATCTCTCAGGCTGTTGGTGACCTCCTTCTCCGGGAAGTACGGCTGCATCCAGTACTGCGTGCGGGCGGTTTTGGAAAGGCCCGCGCTGCCCGACCAGAGCGTCCGGCGGGAGCTGCAGGTGATCCGTCACATCGATGTCAACACACCTGCCTTACTCGTAAGTCCTTCCTCCTTCCTTCCCGCCCGGCCCTCTCTTCCTCCTTCCTCTCCGGAGCAGTCCACACCCAGCCACTGAGGGCTGGTCTACCCTGTCCCTTCCTGATATGATCGCCTAATCCCGTGGTCGGCAAACCGCGGCTCGCGAGCCACAGGCGGCTCTTTGGCCCCTGGAGTGTGGCTCTTCCACAAAAGACCACGGCCTGGAAGAAGTGGCGTGAGAAGAAGTTTAAGGTTAAGACATGTGGCTCTTCAAAGAAAGGTCAGTCGTCGTCCTGCTGATATCTGGCTCCGCTGACTAATGAGTTTGCCGACCGCTGTCAATGTAACCCATAGGCGTTCATCTCCACACGTGCTCCGAGGCTGAGCGAATTGCAAATGGCGCGTGTTAACCAATGACACAGGCGGGAACGCATGTTTAAGGCTTAATAATAATAATAATAATAATAATAATAATATAATAACGAGTACCCGGACAGCGTTGCTTCTACCAGAGCCGCCACATGCAGGGGGCTGGGTTGGAGGGGCTGGGGTATTCTCAAGCCTCAGTAATAGCAGGTTGGGGAGCAGTAATTACACAAGAGTATTAATCAGGCCCAGCCCGTGATTGAGGCTCGGACCATTATGCTTTGCATCCCTCCATCCGGCGTGTCATTTTCTGACATTAAGTAAGTGCAGGCAGCTGTGGGGGGACCCTTACACTTATCATCTCCTAGTGACCACATCACGGCATTGAACTCGTAATAACCACCCGGAGCACTGTCGCCCGAGGAGCAAGATGAGGCTCTAAAGTAACAACAGAACGGCCGAGATGGGGGCTAATGAGCGGGATTCTTTTATCTACGCCCGCATTATCAAAATCATATAAAATTAGACCTTGTATTTTCATGATGGCTGCTGGGCTGGGACCAAATGGTTCTTCATTTCAATATGAATGAATGATTTTTTTTTTTTTTTTTTACTTCATAAAACACACTGGGATAATTGAAACTTTTCATCATGGCACACTGGTCCCCAAGATGTATTTTAATACGGGGCTTTCTTTCTTTTAAAGATAAAGGGAAAAAAGCCAGGCGTTAGAGGAGTTGTTTAACTCTATTTCCGCATGAAAATGGACTAGAATTTACTCTAATGTTCACCTTTAGATTGCAGAAATATTAACAGATGTGCCCTGTTTGCATATTTAAGACCCAAATCATAACTAACCAGCACCCAGGGTTCCAGTGTATAGCTAAGGCTTACCCCAGCTTAACACCTTTGAAACTGGCAATGCTAAGTGTCTTGTATTTTATTTTAATTTTTTTAAATATATTTTACTGATTTTTTACAGAGAGGAAGGAAGAGGAATAGAGAGTTAGAAACATTGATCAGCTGCCTCCTGCACACCCCCCACTGGGGATGTGCCCGCAACCAAGGTGCATGCCCTTGACCGGAATCGAACCTGAGACCTTTTCAGTCTGCAGGCCAATCCTCTATCCACTGAGCCAAACTGGTTTTGGCAGTGTCTTGTATTTTTAAAAATGACTTCAAATTGGGAAATAAACTATTTATGGGAGCATGATGGCAAATGATTTAAAGAGATTTTATTTTTTGCTAAAAAAAAAAAAAATACTATTATCCTTCATTATTTTTTTAATACATATTTTTGTTGATTTCAGAGAGGAAGGGAGAGGGAGAGAGAGATAGAAACATCAATGATGTGAGAGAATCATTGATCCGCTGCCTCCTACTGAGAATGGAGCCCTCAACCCAGGCATGTGCCCTTGGCCAGAATCAAACCTGGGACCCTCAAACGCAGGCCGATGCTCTATCCACTGAGCAACACTGGCCAGGGCTACTATTCTTTCTATAAACAAAGAAGAAACACATTATGATTTGGGGCTTTACAATGAACTTGTAATCTGTGTATCCTGTAACCCGAGCCTTTGAGGCCTGTATTGTTTCCTTGGAGTGGGAAGTGCAGTGGTCTGTTCAGTCATCATTTGGATTCATAACCCCGGGTATGTTTTCCTGCCATTACACAGAAAACAAAGGTCATTCTACCCTAAAAACACTGGAGATGTCTGCCTAGTAATCCATTTGGAAGTAAGTAGGGAAGAAAAGGGCAGTTGGCTTATTCCGCAGTTTCAATGCCAAAACACATATAATAGAACACGATGGTTATTGATTTTTCTGCCATTTCTCCTTTGACCTGATCTCCATAGAAGGTCTTAAATAAAATAGCACTTCTGCCCTGACTGGTTTGGCTCAGTGGATAGAGCATCTGCCTGCGGACTGAAGGGTCCCAGGTTCGGTTCCGGTCAAGGGCATGTACCTTGGGTTGCGGGCACATCCCCAGTAAGGGGTGTGCAGGAGGCAGCTGGTCGATGTTTCTCTCTCATTGATGTTCCTAACTCTCTTCCCTTCCTCTCTGTAAAAAATTAATAAAATACTTTTAAAAAAATAATAGTTCTCACATGTTAATAGGGATCCCTAGGGGTGCTGGTTACTTTTGTAAGGGATGGAGTATCATTTCCCAGAAACATAATGACTAATCCAAATCTGAACATTCACTTTCGTTTTCCCAAAAAGTGAAGGGTTTTCAAATGCTTCGTGTTTTGGTAAGTATTCTACCTAAAATGTCACAGGAAATCAGAAAGGTTGATCTGTCCTAGACATTCCTTTACAACTCCGTCATGAAGAATCCCATCATTCTCTAAGTTTTGTGAATTTCCTGGACTGGTTTCATTAAAGCTGTTTTATTCTTTGAAATTTCCAAGAGCCCAGTATTGAAAACTCAAGAGAAAATGGTCGGATGCTGGTTCTTCACCTCGGGTCCCGTCTCGCTGAGTGCCAAAATCGAGAGGAAGGGATATTGTAATGGTAAGCGCAATGACGTTCACATGGCAGATTCATTCACTTTGTTAGCTAAAAATTTAGGTGATCTTACATAATGTGTTTGGTCCTTTCTGAAGAATACACTATTTTAAAGCATGTATAATAAATGTGGCTGCTTTTGATATAAATAACTGATGGTTAGCCCGGGAAGCGTGGCTCAGTGATTGAGCATCGACCTGTGAACCAGGAGGTCACGGTTCGATTCCCGGTCAAGGGCATATGCCTGGGCTTCGGAGCGTGCAGGAGGCAGCCGATCCATGATTCTCTCTCATCACTGATGTTTCTATCTTTCCCTCTTTCTCTCCATCTCTCAAATCAATAAAATTTTTAAAAATAAATAATTGATATTAAATATTTTTGAGTGGACAAGTAGATTCCAATAAAACGCCAGATATTCCTGACTTCCGTCCTGTGACTCTTATACCTGGAAACGTGGGTAAATGCTGGCATCCTGTTTTCATGTAAAAAAATGTCCAGGGCAGCATTGCTCAGAAGAGCGCTCATGTATGAAAGCTGCTACCCTGTTTCCCCTAAAATAAGACAATGTCTTATATTAATTTTTTCTCCCAAAGTTGCGCTAGGTCTTATTTTCAGGGGAGGTCTTATTTTCGGGGAAACACGGTAGGCATACTGATTCCACGCTGGGAATACAAACATCCGGGGCTAGAATGTAGAACGCTGGCCAGCATAACCTTCCGGCTGATACCAGAACTCCCATTTGTGAAGGGCCCGATTCCATTCCAGGAATCCGGCCCCCACACCGGGGTCCCTTCTTACTGGAAACGAACGAACGGGGGATGGTAGGTAGGATGATAGGGTGTGCCTTACCATCTAATCCTTAGAAGCCAGGCTCAGTTCTTTGGGGGAGGGGGGAGAAGATTTTAATCAGGTGGGCACTGAGCTTCTGTACTTACTATGGCATTCAACCATTAACTTGTATGTCTTACCTTAATTTTTGAAAATATATTTTATTGATTTTTTTTTTAGAGAGAAAGGGAAAGGGATAGCGTTAGAAACATCAATGAGAGAGAAACATCGATCAGCTGCCTCCTGCACACCCCCCACTGGGGATGTGCCCGCAACCAAGGTACATGCCCTTGCCTGGAATTGAACCCGGGACCTTTTAGTCCGCAGATTGATGCTCTATCCACTGAGCCAAACCAGTTAGGGCCTTACCTTAATTTTTAAAGTTATTAGTCATGCCGGGACTGGTTTGGCTCAGTGAATAGAGCGTCGGCCTGCGGACTGAAAGGTCCCGGGTTCGATTCCGGTCAAGGGCATGTACCTGAGTTGCGGGCACATCCCCAGTAGGGGGTGTGCAAGAGGCAGCTGATCGATGATTCTCTCTCATCGATGTTTCTAACTATCTATCCCCCTCTCTTCCTCTCTGTGAAAAATCAATAAAATATATTAAAATAAATAAATAAAAATAAATAAATAAATAAATAAATAAATAAAGTTATTAGTCATTTACATCACTTTAGAAATGATAACCTAATATCACAACATTAGAAAGCGAATCATCTATAACAATAAAACCATAATATGCTAATTAGACCAGACATCCTTCTGGACAACCTTCCAGATGAAGCCAGAGCTGCAAGAGAAGCCCTGGGGCTGGGTGCCTGCCGGCGGCCAGAGGGAAGCTCAGATCCCGGGAGCTAGAGGGAAGCTGGTGCTGGAAGGCTGGGGGGAAGGAAGGCCTACTCTTGCATGAATTTCATACATCAGGCTTCTAGTCCTATATAATAAAAGGCTAATATGCAAATTGCTCCCTTGACAGGAAGTTCAGCCAGGGGGTGGGCATAGCCAATCAACTGCCCATGGCCCCTATCCCACCGTCGGCCCTGCCGAAGATCGGCCCCCCAAACCCGTGCACGAATTCATGCACCGGGCCTCTAGTGCAATAATAAAACAATGTCTGAGCCGAAACCAGTTTGGCTCAGTGGTAGAGCATCGGTCTGCGGACTCAAAGGTCCCAGGTTCGATTCCGGTCAAGGGCATGTACGTTGGCTGCAGGCACATCCCCGGTCGGGGATGTGCAAGAAGCGGCTGGTCGATGTTTCTCTCTCATCGACATTTCTGGCTCTCTATCTCTCTCCCTTCCTCTCTGTAAAAAATCAATAAAATATTTTAAAAAAAAAAAAAATGTCTGCCACAACCTGCAGTGACTTTTCAATCCTCCAGCTCAGATTTACAATAGGTTTTCCATCAGGGCTTCTCAAAACTTGGTGCCGTTGTGTTGCGAACCTTCCACCTTTCGTGGGGAGAACTTTCTAGAAAGTCTCTGAAGGTTCTGGCATGTTCTTTGTCCATTTTAGGAGAAGCCATTCCCATCTATGCAGAAATAGAGAACTGTTCCTCCCGCCTGGTTGTCCCCAAAGCTGCTATTTTTCAAACCCAGACGTACTTGGCCGGCGGGAAGACGAAGACCGTCCGGCACATGGTCGCCAACGTGCGAGGAAACCACATCGCCTCGGGGAGCACCGACACGTGGAACGGGAAGATGCTGAAAATCCCGCCCCTCCCGCCGTCCATCCTGGACTGTTGCATCATCAGAGTGGAATACTCCCTGGCGGTAAGCAGAGAGAGCTCTTGGCAAAACTAACAGCGTGCAGAATGGTCGGTCCATGGTCCTGGGACTATGTGCGCTTGAACCCTAGTCATTTCCAGTCAGCAGCACTGCACTGCATTGTGGGCCAAATGAGCACCGGCCTTAGCTTTTGAGCAAAACTGTCCCCCTCCGGGATTGAACTCATTGACATGAAAGAATGCAGGTGCGTTGTGGTTGCTTGCTGTATCAAAGAACATGTACTCCCTTTTCTTTCCTCTTTAGATAGATAGATAGATAGATAGATAGATAGATAGATAGATAGATAGATATTTTATTGAATTTTTACAGAGAGGAAGGGAGAGGGATAGAGAGTTAGAAACATCGATGAGAGAGAAACATCGATCAGCTGCCTCCTGCACACCCCCCACTGGGGATGTGCCCGCAACCAAGGTACATGCCCTTGACCAGAATCGAACCTGGGACCCTTCAGTCTGCAGGCCGATGCTCTATCCACTGAGCCAAACTGGTTAGGGCCGTACTCCCTTTTCTATGGTTATTACGTAAGCCTTGCTCACCAGCAGTGAGGCGTGTTAAGGCCACGGTTCCCCGTCCCTGAGTGTGCGCTGTATGGGGTGCACTCCTCCTGCAGTCTGTCCTTCCTTTTATTGGGTCTGGACAATGGACAGTTGTGTTATGGGGCGATGGCAGGTGACAAATACATTTGGTTCTATGAAAAAAATAAAGGAACCAGCAATTTCGGTAATGTTTAACTTCGTTGGTGTCTTTTCTTTTCTTCTTAAATATACTTTTATTGATGTCAGAGAGGAAGGAAGAGGGAGAGGGAAACACCAATGATGAGAGTCATGGATTGGCTGCCTCCTGCGCGCCCCCTTCTGGGGATTGAGTCCACAACCCGGGCATGCGCCCTTGGCTGGAATCGAACTCGGAACCCTTTGATCTCTAGGCTGATGCTCTAGCCACAGAGCCAAAGAGGTTGTTGGTGCCTTTCTGTCTCTTTCATTTCCTTTTTCTTCTGTGATAACAGGTGTATATTCATATCCCTGGTGCTAAAAAGCTGATGCTGGAGCTGCCCCTAGTGATCGGGACGGTCCCGTACAACGGCTTTGCCAGCAGGAACTGCAGCATGGCCAGCCAGTTCAGCGTGGACATGAGCTGGTGGGCGCTGGCGCTGCCGGAACAGCCTGAAGGTAAAGGGTTCGGGGTTCTCGCAGAATGATGCTTTGCACACGAATTACCTAAGAATAGGACGTGGAACAGAATGAGCGCTCAGATGGGAATTCCTGCTGCCGCCAGGAACTTACTCGTACTAAACCCGTCAGGCAGTTGAAGGAGAAGCCACTGAGAGCTTAGCTTGCTCGGGTATAAAGTCTACATTCCCTGATTCTGGCGTAGAATAGAAAAGCAACGAAAGGTAGTCAGCATAGAAGTACAGTGTGATATGCACTGAGTGGCCAGATGATGATGATCTCTGAACGCATAATAATCTGGCCACTCAGTGTGTGTGTGTGTGTGTGTGTGTGTGTGTGTGTGTGTGTGTATTAGAGGCCCTGTGCATGAATTCATGCATGGGTGGGGTCCGGACAGCCTGGCCAGGGGGAGGAGACATGGCCAAGTTGGCTGGCCTGCCTGCTGGTCGAACTCCTGGTCAAGGGGACAATTTGCATATTAGCCTTTTATTCTATAGGATATACACTGAGTGGCCAGATGATGATGCATTCAGAGATCATCATCATCTGGCCACTCAGTGTATTTTCTGTAGCCACATTATTTTTTTCATTTCGTTTTTAATCATATCTTTATTGATTTCAGAGAGGGAGAGAGAGAGAGAAACATCAATGATGAGAGAGAATCATGGATCGGCTGCCTCCTGCATGCCCTCCAGAGGAGACTGAGCCCACAACCTAGGCATGTTTCTTCACTGGGAATTGAACCAGGCCCTCCTGGTTGATGCTCAACCACTGGGCCACGCCAGCCAGGCTGTAGCCACATTTCACGTGTTTGTTTTTTTTTTAACCCAGATTTTGATACCCATCTCAAAAGAACAGAGTATCATCAGTGTTCGTACTTTCATCCGAGCAGACTCTCCTAGTTGCTTTTTGGGGCAATGCGCATAAAAACGTGCTCATCAGAGGGAAGGCTACCGCTGCTTTAGCGTCAACCAGAGAGCGATTTCTTGTCCACGTGAGAGTGCAGAGGGGTTTGTGGGATCCGGTTTTGCACGGGTGTCTTAGTCCCGCCCCGTTTCCGCTTCAGCACCCCCCGATTACACGGACGTGGTGTCAGAGGAAGAGGTCTCCAGGCACAGCCCCCCTTACCCGCGGCCACCCAGCTGGGAGGGCGAGGCCCGCTGCCCCCCCTTCGCCTGCATCCAGGACTTCCGGCTCCAGCCGCCACCTCTTTATTCAGAGGTAAGCAGAGCGAAAGCAGATCCATCCAACCTGCGTTGTTGCAAACGCCTAGGTAGTAGGGGATCCATATTTAAAAAGTTTCTGGGTGTGTTATTATTTATTTTAAAACATATATTTTATTGATTTTTTTTACAGAGAGGAAGGGAGAGGGATAGAGAGTTAGAAACATTGGAGAGAGAGAAACATCGATCAGCTGCCTCCTGCACACCCCCTATTGGGGATGTGCCCGCAACCAAGGTACATGCCCTTGACCGGAATCGAACCTGGGACCCTTCAGTCCACAGGCTGACGCTCTATCCACTGAGCCAAACCGATTAGGGCAAGTTTCTGTTTTGTTTGTTTTTTTAAATATATTTTATTGATTTTTTACAGAGAGGAAGAGAGAGGTGATAGAGAGCTAGAAACATCGATGAGAGAGAAACATCGACCAGCTGCCTCCTGCACACTCCCTACAGGGATATGCTCCCAACCAAGGTACATGCCCTTGACCGGAATCGAACGTGGGACCCTTCAGTCCACAGGCTGATTCTCTATTCACTGAGCCAAACTGGTTAGGGCAAGTTTTTGTTTTGTTTTGTTTTTACGGTGACCAGAGATGAGCACTCTGTCACTGGCCACCCTCCCCGATGGAGCACTTTCCTTGTGCTCCGTCACCATGTGGGACGTGGCTGAGGACCACAGAGCATCAACGTGCCTCCAGGGACTCAGTGGTCCTCCCCATCTCGTCCTTGGAAACGGGTCCCGGAGTCGTTGCCAAGGAGTAACCGGACTGCTCTCTCTTGCAGGTCGATCCGCATCCCAGTCGCCTCCGAGAGGCCCAGTCTGTGTCCTTCATCCTCTGAACGCACCTGGGACATCACTGTGACCCGCACCGGAGGACACTGGCTCTCTCCTCCGCCTTTTCAGGGACTTAGGGAGAGACGATTCGCTTAAGAACCTAAATAGGTCAATACCGAGGAATTAAAAACTACGTGAACTTTCCAGGGCCCGACGGGACTGTCGCCAGAGCTGATGGCAGGCCCGAGGGTCCCTGCGGAAGAGGGGGTGACCTTGGGAAGCCACAGCGGGTAAGAGGGGTCCCGATGGGGACCCAGTAAGCGAAGGGGCCAGGAATGTACGTGACCATGGCAACGCGCCTCTCAGAGGGAGCCCAGAGCAGACAAAGGGACCAGAGCATCCGGGCCGAATGGGCGCTGGGAGGGCACTTGATTTGGGGGAAGTTGGCAGCATAGGGATGTGCAGGCCCCAGAAGCCAGGGTCGCCTGATTTCTCCCCGACCCCCTAGGACTCGGGTCCAGGAAAGACCTTTCCTGAGATGATGTGACTCGGCGCTCACTCGGCCCCGATGATGTGACTCGGCGCTCACTCTCCTGGGGGGCTGGTTGGCCATGTGATTTGTAAGTGGGCGGGGGAGTAGGATGAGCAGTTAAGAGTCCCTCCCAAGTTCAGTTCCAAGGGCAAAGATGACCTTCTACAGGGAAACCCATCTGTGGAAGGCTGGGGATTTACCCTCTTCCAGTCCCTGGTCAGGATAGTATTTGCTTTTCCTCATGTCTTATCGACGGGAGCATGTCAGAAAGAGAAGGGGGCGGGTGAGCGGGAGAGGTTGCATCCTTAGAAAGCTTTGATAACTATTCCAGAAAGAAAAAGAAGGTCTTTCCCTAACCTACCTCTAGCGGGTGATCAGACCGGTGTGAAACCTCAGGCTGACACGTTTTGGGAGAGTCTAGCCCCGTGGTCGGCAAACCGCGGCTCGCGAGCCACATGCGGCTCTTTGGCCCCTTGAGCGTGGCTCTTGCACAAAACGCCACAGCCTGAGCGAGTCTGTGTTGAAGAAGTGGCGTTAGAAGAAGTTTAAGTTTACAAAATGTGGCTCTCCCAAGAAATTTCAGTCGTCGTGCTGTTGCTCTTTGGCTCTGGGGACTGATGAGTTTGCCGACCACTGGGCTATACTTTGCAGTGATGTCTTAAGGCATCTGAAACCACACGCAGGGGGAAAGCCCCTACAGTTAGCGTTGGATGGACGTTCCCGGATACACATATATACCAAAGGGCATTTCAAAATAAATGCAACGTCAAAGAAGGTAGAGACAGGCCATTTTTTTTTTTTTTAAAAAAAAAGGCATGCATTTCCTTCCTGTGGGGAAAGCTCCGTGGCTTCTGATGACAGGCACCGCCTGGTACCGGATCAGTCCAGCTCCTTCAGTGACTCTGTTTAAACTGTGATTTCCTTTCTTGTTTCGGTGCAATATTTGATTGGCATTGAACCTCAGGAGAGTGAGACCAGCAGGCTACTGTCGTTGCTAAAATCCTGAGGAGTGTTTTCCCTCTCCCCCTGGGCCCCCCCAGTCGTGGTCTCACGGTCCCTTGCTCTGTCCTCTTGTCTGTCGGTTCTATGGTTTGGAAGTGTGTCTGGATGGAGATTTGGGACCAGCTGAGGCCTTGTTGGGTTTGATCCAGAAACCCCGGTGCTTCATTCAACAGAACCGTTTACCTTCCAATCAATGTGTCCGGTGAGAAATTGGGGGGAAAAAATACTCTCTCCGGTTAGATTCGGAATTTTAAAAAATTAGTCGGCCACCTGATTAGGGATTTTTCTACAAACATGAGATACGTGTATGTTTTTTCACTCTCTCTTCTCCGTGGTCACGGGAGCCTCATGCATGTCTTTCCATGTGAGCCGCTGTTAAAAAATCGCCAGGCAGGATGGTCACACAATTGCGCGTGGGACTGCAACTGTCGGAGCGTGATTTCCCTGCCTCCATTTCCAGCTCTGCTTGTCTTGGTGTTCGATGTAAAACTGGGATCTGCGTTTGAGCCTTATCGAAACCGGTTCGGTTTTACTTTGAAAGAGATCACTTCCCACTATGTGTTGAATTGTCAATCAGTTCACGCACCCTACCCAGACTTTGTCCATCTCCACGACCCCCAGACACAGCAAAGAAGGATGTGAAAGAGTGAGGAGTAAGAGAAGGTCTCATTAACTGGCTCCAGATCGAAAAGCCAGTACTTACTAGACCCTCTCCCTGGCTTCGCTTTATCCCCTCTGTTAGAGAAATCTTTTTTTTATATATATATATATATTTTACTGATTTTTTTACAGAGAGGAAGGGAGAGGGTTAGAGAGACAGAAACATCGATGAGAGAAAAACATCTATCAGCCGCCTCTTGCACATACCCCCCACTGGGGATGTGCCCGCAACCAAGGTACATTTCCTTGACCGGAAATCGAACTTGGGACCCTTCAGTCTGCAGGCTGATGCTCTATCCACTGAGCCACACCGGTCAGTGCCAGTTAGAGAAATCTTGACTCGAACCCGGAAAACGGAAGCACAGCGGACACAGCCCTTTAAGAGAAGACCTCGGAAGTGGGGTACACCTGTTTCATTCCTATTGGTATGTCTGCCCTTCAGGGGGTAGAAACTGCATTCCTTTCCTTTCCCAGATTTTGTGAATGTGGATCATTCTACACCCGGACAGAAAACACTTGGAAATGAAGGTTAAAAGTTAGCTGTTGTATTTGCTTGTTTTGTTTCCAAAGAAACCATGGCCTTAGAATTTTCTTTCTGATACAAACGTTTTGAAATGGGAAATGTGAAACTTTTAGCACACAAAAAAATCTTCTGTGGGGTAGAACTTTTTTCTTTTCAATAAGAAACTCAATAGGCAGGGGGTTGCGTTTTTGATAAGTTGACTATGAACGCTTTTTTTTATTTTTATTATTAAAAATGTAGTAATTTAACCCACAGGGAAAAAACACGAAGATTGTATTTTGTACTCTTGTTTGAACCCTATGGGTTCCTTTTGTTAATAAAAGGATCGCAGTGATGCCGGAAGTTGCTGGTTTTGTTCTGTTTGCGTGTGACTGTGACTCAATCTGTTACAGACTTAAGGGAAATCAGTACCGTCAAACCAACACTCACTGCAGGAAGGATGCCTGTTTCTTTTTTATTTTATATTTTGTTGTTGTTCATCCTCACCCGAGGATATTTTTCCATTGATGTTTAGGGAGAGTGGGGGAGAGAGGGAGAGACAGAAACATCGATGTGTGAGAAACACATCCATTGGTTGCCTCCTACATGAGTATTTACCAGAGCCCATGCCGGGAAGGAGGCTGCAACCGAGGCATATGCCCTTGACTGGTATCGAACCTGGGACCCTTTGGTCTGGAGGCTGATGCTCTATCCACAGAGCCATAACCACCTAAGGCACCTGAGCCCGTTTTTACAATGGGCTTGGTTTCTCCAATCTCAGTGTAGGAGAAACAGTCATGAGGAATAACAGGTGTAAGCTCTATGGGTGGATAACAGAGCATTATCTGCTTTTATCCCCAAATGTACTGGCCACTTTCCAAAACCCTGGATTGATTATTAGGTCTGGTGGGCAGTGGGTGGACCCACTCACACTAGGGATATGGACCTAAATAAACCTCCCCTTTCCACTAAATACTCACATAGACAATTGCCATAGGTGTTGTTTAAGAGGGAGTGTTTGGTTTTTATAATAAACTTTTATTGATTTCAGAGAGGAAGGGACAGGGAGAGGGAGCTAGAAACATCAATGATGAGAGAGAATCAATGCTCAGCTGCCTCCTGCACACCCCCTACTGGGGATCAAGCCTGCAACCTGGGCCTGTGCCCTGTCCTGGAATCAAACCGTGACCTCCTGGTTCATAGATGGATGCTCAACCACTGAGCCATGCCGGCTGGGCCAGCCCTATGTTTTATACAAGGAATCAGAAACCTGCCCAGACCCCCAGTCTTGGAAAATTAACCTTAGCCACGTGGCAAAAACGAACCCAGGCATTTACTAGCATTTATACTACGCGAGATGGTGTTCAATGAACCAATAATAAATACAGGTCGCATCCACATTTGCAGTCCACATAAAACATTTGTCCCAAAAGTATTCTAGCATCGAGGCCACGTGCATTAGGGATTCTGTAGCTCCTATCGGAAAGTCGTGGGCTGTGAGATTTAGGACGAGGCAGGGCGGTACAAAGAATCGAGGACAAAGCCCTCGGGTTACAGACGAGGACACAGAGCCCGCAGGTGGAACCTGGAGGTTTGACCTACATTCTCTGCAGGATCCTTGCTCCCTCTAAAATGTCCTGATTCCCCGGCCTCCACAGAAGTTACGGAAACAGTAGCTGCTCGAAACCACAGACTTGGATGCTATGCACACGGCGGCAAGTGTTTCAAGTTTGTATCTAAATGTTTCATTAGTGCGTTTAATGAGTAGCTAGAATCCTTTCTTCAGCAGAGGGGCCGGTTTCTAACTGCTAATTTGCAATAATTACAGGTTCCCAAGAAGGTGCCGTAACAGTGGAGCGATACTATATTTCCATCACCCAGTCCCGCCCACAGGGAACCCCTACGGAACTGTAATACATTCCCAAAACCAGGAAATGGTGTTGACACAATATACACCGAGTGGCCAGATTATTAGGGGGGTGGGGAGGAGAGGACATGGGCTGTTGGCCGGCCTGCTTGCTGATCGAACTCCCGGTGAAGGGGACAATTTGCATATTAGCCTTTTATTCTATAGGATAGACACTGAGTGTCCTGATAATTATGCATTCAGAGATCATCATAATCTGGCCCTTCAGTGAATATGATCAACCAGAGATCAGGCCTATATCCGTCAAGGAGCTCCAGCTGGGGTCGCCCACACCATGATGGGCAGAGTCACAGAAAAGCAGGCAATGTCAGAATTTGACGGCAGGAGCCCCTCCCCCCCCCCCCCACCAACACCCATCGGCCCCTCTGAATGAGAGACTGGGCAGAGGAGAATGCCCAGTTAGTGCTAAATTTACATGGTTTCTGAAACGCGGTGGGGTTGA